AGGGATTAGGGTTGTGGAATTCACGCGGCTTTTTCCTTCAATAATTCATCCAAGTTACAGCTTCCCCACATACACGAGAGAGAGACAAGAAAGGAGCGGGAAAGGAATCAACATTTTGACTTTGTTAACAAGCTGTCTGGACTAATTAGTATTCAGGTGATCTTAGCTTTATCATATGTAAATATATATGTAAAATCACACTCTTACATTGATTATTCAGTAATATACTACCTCCGGTCATTAATAGAACTGGTTAAAAATTTAATTTGATTTTAAATATAATATATCAATTTATTTTGTCTCATAAATAAGTAATTTATATCCCTATTAAGTAATATGCGTCGAAGGGTTTTCATCCGAGAGAGGTCATTATTAAACAAGTATACTTTAGGAAAATCAACTCATATTTATGACACATAACTAATTTAATTAGTTTTTTTAATCTACTCAAATTAATTAAATAGCTCTTATATTAAAAGTATAGTATTAACAAGGTAATGGTGATTGAATGTGAAACTACAAGTAATTGATATATAGAGAAAATTGGACTTTTTTTTTTTTGACAGAAGAAAAAATTGGACATTTATCAATAATCTTGTTCAAAAATTCAACATGAGCCCCTGCACTGTATTGGGAGGACGAGATTCACAGCCAAAAACCGGCAAGCGAAAAATGTTTGGTAATCAAGAGAGAATGGGGTGTGTGTTTGTGAGAGAGAAAGAGAGAACATAAGAGAGTTTATGGAGATAAGAACAATACTTGCTTCCTAAGCTACTTAGGGTTAGATAATGATGCAGCTCTTGCGATTTTTCTGCAAGTTTATCAATATTTTATACAGAACGTAGATATATTATCAAGTTACTTTTTACAAGAGTATATTGTTTTTTTTTTGTGCTTTGAAAAATCTGAATCTTCCTGCAAATCCTAGGCAGTAAGACTACTTTATATTTGGCCAAAGAAAAAAAAAAGACTACTTAATATGCTTTTAGTTTAGTATGAAAAAAAATTGAAAATCATATCATATCCATATTCATGAGTCATGAATAGCACAAGACGATATACAAAATCTATGTAAGCAAAGGGTATGTATTTTCTTTAAATTATGTAATTTCTTTTAGATGCATTTACATTTAATTATTTTTAAAAACTTTGTGAAACCTACAACACTGATATAATCAAAGGGAGTTTACAAAAATAAACTGAATTCATACTTGCGATAGGAAAAAAAGTCGTATATATAAAACAGGCTAATTGACTAAAATGAGACTCACTTCACTTTGATTCTTCACGTATCTCGCGTATGCATGGCTCTCCCAATTTTTTTTTTTTTAAAAATCTTCGTGAGAATGCATGGCCGCATCTCTATATGGCTTCGTATTGGGCACCCACCCAGCAATGCCTTTCGTTTATGCTTTTCGGATTTCTTAGCGTGCATTGCCTTGGTCATTGGGTGGTTGTAATAAATTATTGGTGGAACCGCAGAACGAGTGACATATACAATATATTATTGGTAGGGACCCACATGTGCCGATTTAAAAAAAAAAAAAAAAGCTAAGGAAGAATTGCAATAGAGTCTCATAAAAAGTAAATAATTACTAAAAAGTTGCAATGACAAGTGAGAAGTTGTTATTTCTTATTGTAAAACTTATATTATAAGCTGATCAATTGCTATTAAGATTTTTTGATAATTATGTTTCTTTTTTAGAATTTTATTGCAATAGTTTTTGTCCTTATTTTTGGGGTTTATGGATAACGGATTTGAAGTTTAGGTGATTGGAACATGGGGGCTTGACTCAAAGCATACAACCAAAGAGGAAAACAATAAAAAGTTTAGAGCCCATTCGTAACTTCTCTTTTAAATAAAAGGCCCGGCAAGTTGGGCCGCATTCTAATATTATGAACGGGGGCTTTTTTGCTCACTCCAACTGGACATTAGTTTAGATACGTTAGAGATTAGTATCAATGCAAGTTTTTAACAAGATATAATGGTGATTGATTGTGAATTATAAGTAATTAATTAATATATATAGAGCATTTATTCCCAAATCTGCCCCTCTAATCTTATTTGTAGTTAGAAAATTTTTTTTATCCTATTTGAGTCATCTCATTATGTTAAAAATTCAATGAAATAGTTCTTACCAAGAAAATTTTAATGAGGAAAATGGTCTAATTTGGTCGCCACCATGAAAGGAGGAAAGGTAAAATATGGCACATTGCCCGTGTTTCAGGGTTCATTTAATTTTGGAGAGTGCCCCTTCCTAGGTTATAGATAGGTTGCAAAATATCTCTTAAGGACGGTGTCATTGTGACGCGACTCGAACCATTAAACTTTGTGTTGCCACTAAAAAGGTTGAGTCACAAAATGATCAATAATATGCATACTGTAGAATATGATCTCATTGCACAGAATGAGAGGATTACACAGTAATCATATAATGTGCAGTAGCAGTGAAAAAGTGATATAGGTGAAAAAGAAAAGAGACGCATTGCCCTAATACAAGATTCTAGAAAAAGCTATAACAGGCCCTTCAATTAGATAGTGAATTCGTGTGACCCAAGAGCTTTGGGCCTTGTCACATTGGACTGCATATTATAGTTCCGTTCTTCAACAGCCCCCCCTCAAGCTAATCAGTGGAAGAACCATGATGCTTGTGCGTAATAGCTCAAATCTTGGAGCTGGAAGAGGCTTACTGAACACATTTACTAGCTGATACTTGGAAGGTAAAAAGATGACAGAGAGTTTTAGCAGCAACTCTCCCACGCACAAAATGACAATCTAATTCAACATGTTTGGTTCTTGCATGCATAACCGGATTGGCAAAAAGATATGTAGCACCAATGTTGTCACAACATAGTCTAGGAGCTTTTAGCAAAAAAAAAAAAAATACCCAACTCTTTTAGTAAACATTGAAGCCATATTAAATCACAAGTGGCCAAGGCAAGAGAATGGTATTCAAATTTTGTCGAAGATCTAGCAACTGTTTGTTGCTTTTTAGCAGACCAAGAGATTAAATTATTGCCAAAAAAACACAAAAACCACCAATAGATCTTCTATTATCAGGACACCCAGTCGAATCAGCATCAGAGAATGCAGTTAGAGAAGATGAAGGGGACTTGCGAATTAAGAGTCCATAATCAATTGTGTGTTTCAGATAACATAAGATTCTCTTAACAACAATCCAATGAGTGTGTCTTGGTGCATGTAAAAATTGACTGACCTTGTTAACCACATAAGAAATATCAGGTCTAGTGAAAGACAAATACTGAAGGCTTCCAACAACACTTATATATAAAGTTATATTTTCAAAAATATTACCAACAGTTGTGTATGGATACGAAGCTTTTTGGAAATGTGATAACTTACAAGAATGGACGGATGGTTTCTGCATATATAGTTCGTTGAGTATGATGTGCTTTTTCTTTTTCTCTCTGCATTATTAGCCGAGGATGGTTTCGTCTCTTTGCAATTAGCTGTCATTATAGTTGTCTGTTATTTGCATCATTGACAAGTATCTCCTTCTGTGCCCAAGTAATATTAATCTGAATGAAACCAGAGACCCATTGGAAATTCATACACTGTTTTATCTCTGAGTTAATGCCATGAATGACGGTTTGAATGTTGTTTTTTGAATGGATGAGACCAATAAGTAAGTTAAGTGTGCTCATTACTAAACCATACTCGTGCAGGGTTGGTGATACGCGATCCAAGAAGCTCGGAAATTCTCATGCATGTTATTATCATGATTGACAAGTAACTGCCGCCGCAAAGTGATGACAATCGAAACAAAATCAGATACCCTTTGGAAACTCAATGAGCATTACTTGCACGACAGTTGATGTCAGACTTGCTCTTCGGTATGCTTGACCTTCCAAAATTTCTTAAGTTTTTTCTCTGGATGATCCATCCAATGGTAATAATGAAAGAATCAACTACTCCTGTGTATCTCAGTGTTGCCATTTTATTCATTTTTATTCAGTTATTTTTTCCTCTTAAGTGATTATTGTCCTTCACTCATCCTATATGCATCGGTATGTTAATATTACTGGAACAAGTATTATATTTTGTCCTGTTATGTGATCCTCAATATTGGTTTACCAAAGTGTCTGGTAATAATAACTAGTGGATGTATTTTGAAGGATTTACCCGTTGGTTTTGGATATTACGTGCTGTGGGAAATCATTATTTCAGCATGTGCCACTTCTGTAATAGCTGGTAGTGCAGGGATTTCTTAAGGGATTCATGGAACGATGGAAGTGGGATTTCGGCCACATACCTATTTATTTCAATATGCACTTTGTGCAGAGATTTCACTTGCAATTTTGTATTGCAGCTTTTTGTGCTTTCTTTTCTCTCCATGCTGCAATTTTTAACTCTTGGATTTACTAATTATCAGACTTATATTGAAGCTATTATCCACTTCCTCCTATGTTGTTCTTACAGAGAAGAGAGGATGACTGTAAAATTGTGACAGATATCCCCTACATTTTTGGATTGAATTCGGCCTACCAGGATCCATTGGTTGAGTTTTATAATCTTTTACAGGATCTGCATATGTCCTAACTCCTGAGTATGATTTTTCATTTGTTTCTATGCAGCTTTATGTTGTTTCTGATCAAGTTTGTGTGGCAAGCATTTCGGTTTTCTAGAAACACAGATTTCAAAAGCCAAAATTAACCAGTCCCTTATTTAAGGCACATACAAAGGAAACAAGATTGCTCGAGATTTCTTCATTGTTTTACTCATCTTGGTAGTTAAATTTGTAACTAAAGTTATAATAGTGAGCAAATCAAATCCCAATCAAAAGCATCTGATGCCTTGAATGTACATGAATCCTTCTAATAATAGTCATTTGCCTTTCCGTATGAAAAAGAAGAGAGTTTTCAATTAATTGTTCTTCCATTTGCAATTACCATTAATAAAAATTAAGGGCAATTATTACGCTATATGGGTTTATATTTATTGAAGTCAGCATTTACACTTGGCTGATTATGTGATGATCTTTTATGGGTGAAAAGTATTGAATGATTGAAGATAATGATTAGTTCTTACAAACCCATTGCTCCTCCTCCCAAGAAGACGACCCAGCTCCAGCGCAAGACGGCGGAGAACAATGGCTCTCTCCTCTCCCTCCTCCTCCCACCGCCTTCGTCACTGGTCATGGCCAGAAACTAAATCCCCAGCTCTGAGCGCACTTGCCTCAGTGCTCTGTAAGCGCACCAACTTTACCATTCCCGCCCATGCCAAGTTCATATTTGTAATCAGGGGATCCACCATTTTTACTAGCCCTTCGGCTTTATAAGCTGCCCACCCCTGCACAAATGTTCACCCACGTACAATGGACCCCACTTACGTAGCACTCAGACACAGGGATACTGGAGACCAAAGCAAAGCTGGCCTTTTTTTTTTCCTCTCCAAATTATAGAAAAATGCACTGACATTCTGAGATTACAGTATAACCATAGCTTTCACTTACAGGGCAACTTTCACACAACTTAGCTACAAAGCTATTGACAAGAATTTTATGCCTTTACAAGGAAGGCAAGTTATTAATCCTGATTATGATGATATGTAACCCCGATTTAAATAAACTGTGGTAAACTAACTACGTGATGAACCAAACAGATGACACTATTACATGTGGCTCTGTGCCGCAACCAAATAGGGACAGGCCAAGATGAAATCGAAATGATGCAATGTGCAAGCAGTAAATCATGGAATCAAGGAGGCAACACCTGAAACATCACATCGTGGTTACACTTTGGCACTCCTCAAATGGCTCTTCTTCTTCTTCTTCTACTCCTTCTCCTTTTTTTCCTTCTTCGTCTGCATCTGTCCTGACTTGAAGCACCGATGTTGGGGATGAAGTCCCCGAGTCATCCCCTGAATCGGCAGCTTCAGGCTTCACTGAAACTCTCATTTCCGGCCTCATGGTCAGTTCTAGGTCTGCTTCTTCCACCATGCGAAACACCAGTGCTGCTTCTTCCAGCCACAACCAGACGCGCCTGGATGGATCATACATAAGTCGCGGGTAGGTGAAATGCCTACCGTCAGAAACTTGCAATCGCCACGTGTTCAATTGTATGGCATCATGGCCAGCACGATCTCTGAGAAAAATTGCAGAAACGGATTAGAGCAGGGAGCTTATATGGTAAGTCTTGAGCACTGCATCTGATAAGGGTTTTGTTTTTCATGGTTTATGCTGAGAAATAGGTTGCATTGCTAGGCTTTTAGAGTGTTGGTGTTTTATGGGGCTTCAGCTATTGGTAATTGTATTCTTTGGTTTTTTTTTTTAATGATCCATAAAAATTCTATTTTTCCTGCAAAAGATATCGTCTAATTAATTTACTGTGAATTATCCTGGCCATGACTCTAAATATTGAGCAGATTAACAGTGTTGGAGATGGGGGTTTAAGAGGAGAGGACCTTAGGAGTTCCCATGGTGCGGCTGCTGAAATTAATTCAGGCTCGGAAGAACTGTGCATCCAGCCATTTTGGATTGTGACCGTGTTGACTCCAGATGAAACGTGATCCTGGTACGAGGATTCCTGCAAAAAATGTAAACCATTAACACAAGATTGAAAAGTCTAATCAACAAAATAAACATTAATATGGGATTAGATCACCTACAGCCGGGAAAGACGAACGATCTTCCTCTTCTTCGTCATTTTGCTCATTGTTCCAATCGTCTGAAGCTTCTCCAATCCTTGGGAAATGATGCGTCTGTTTGAAAGTTAAAAAACACGTTCAGTCATTTAACGGGAGACTGATGTCATGTAAAACACACTCTGCCACTTATTCAAACAGAGGAAAAAGAAGGGGAGTAGGGGAATAACAACAGAGATGGTGGGGGTAGAAGAGACAAAACGAGGGAGGGCAAGGAGATGAGTTCAATCGTAACGAAGTATATTAATCTTCCAAAAAATCTGAATAAAGCGAGATTTCCTTCTCATGAGGGAAATATTCAAGATATTATGAAATAAAATTAAAAAGCATAAAAGCATTCTGCCCCTTGCTAAAACCATCATTTTTGTAATAGAATTTTACATACTTCCTATCAATTCCCTCTCTTCGAAGAACTCTAAGCATCAAAGCTCATGTGGGTTATATTCAAAATATTCTTCCGGTTTTTAATATAGGATCTAATTCTTAAATTGATTTTGATCCTAAATATAAGATTCATTTATCATATTTATCAATTTTTTCTAAATTACCCCTACTCCCTCAACCATAATCAAGTAGAAAAGGGAGAGGGGGGTATTAAGAGAGATGATTATGGTGTTTTAGAAAAAAATTTGTCATTTTTCTTATAATTAACTAAATTACCTAACTTCCTTAATCTAATCAAATTAGTTAAATAGGTCTTATATTAAGGATCGGAGGAGTATATTAATTCTTACATGCCATAATTTCTTTCCCCCATCATGGTCCACAGAAGTTATATCATCAACTTTACTCTTTAGCTGGAGAATTACATTGAATCAGGAAGAAATGATGAAATATAAGAATTAATAAATACTAAAAAGCTAGATGAGAAATAAGTTGCTTCTATTTTTCCTTTTTCTTTTTTTGAAAAAAAAAAATCTTGCCTCGGCCAGATGATTAATATGATCATAAAGGTGCCATCAAGGTACCCAGCCCCTTGGCAAGCAAGTGGATTCAATAAATAGCCAACATACAACTTATGCAGGAGACTTTTGATAAATGAAATATTTGCTACCTCGTCGAAAAAACTAATTCCTCTCTTTGTTTCTCCCCCCCCCCCCCCCCAAAAAAAATAAGGGGAAGAGGGTATAAAAAAAGAATAAAAAAATTATTATAATAAAAAGAATTATGGAAGAAAGAGAATATGTGATAGAAAGATGATGGTTTGAGAAACAAGAATATATTGAGCATTAAAATAAGTAATTAATGAGAAAAAATAGGAAATTTGCTACAAAAATTTAAGATAACTTGCAAATGTTGCTTATATTTAGGAATAAAAGGGAGATGTAATTGTTGTTTATAGCAAGGGACAGAGGGATTTGGTCGCTTACAGCTGCAAAAGACGAACGAGTTTCCTTTTCGTTGTTTTGCTCTTTGTCCCAATCTAACATGCTTCCTTCTGAAAAGTCTCCATTACTTGCAGAATGATGCGTCTGTATGAAAGTGATAGTAAGTGTTGAGTCATTTAGTAGGAGACTAGAGAAGTACTAGCCTATCAGTAAACTGAATATTCATATTCCGTTTTAGACACTTACAGCCTGGGAAGACTCCTTTTGATTATTTTTCTGATAGTTCATAGATAACAGGCTGTGCCCTGAAACTTCTCCCTTCCCTGAGGAATCTTGCATCTGCAAAAAATGAAAATCCAAAAGCATAAAATGCATTAGTTCAGATACGAATTAACGTTTCACGTCAGGTTCAATAGCCTGAATATTTTGCAGCAAAACTAAATTAATACCTCCTCATAGATGTCTTCATCGCCAATTTCTAATACAGCTGCATTTGGAGAACCCATATGATTTAGATTGATGGAACCAAACTCTACTCCGGATTCTGGGTAATGGCGAAGCATAACGACGAGCGAGGAGAAAAGTAATGCAATGAGGAAGAGGATCCAGTTGATTTTGAAAAGTTGTGTGGCAAACAATGTCAGGAAAAAACTGGAGAAGCCAGTCTCGAATCCGAGCTCAAACTTCCTTGACATGGACAGCGACATCAAGGCAAATGAACCATACGAGATGATGCTCCACGCATCTGATTTTGCAAGCACAAGTTTGTCATTCACCACGGAGATCAAACAGATCACATCAAACATTAGAGCTGCCACAGGGCCTTGGACTTTCTCTGAAACTCGAATTCTCTTGCCCCACAAGATGAGGCACCATACCATTAAACCGACCAATAGATAAACAAGGAGACCGCCGAAACCAAACTTTCCAAATGAGATCTTGTAAGTGGAGCTGAGGCCAAAGCAAACCAGGCCAGCTATGGCTGACACAAATCCCACAAAATTCCAAATCGTGGACAGACTTATAAGGCCTCCCATTCTGCTCTTTTTCAGGCATCAGAAGCAGTCTAAAGTTATTGTTTTTTCTTTCGGAAAAAAAAAAAAGACAGAAGAAGACAGGCTAAGCTCAGCTAAAGCGCAAGAGATAATCGAAAATTCCATGAAGATCAAATGTGTTTAATTCCTCACATATAAGGATTCTAATTCCAAAAGGAGAGTATTGGTAAACAACTCATCTAAATTTTTTTACACAGAAAAAATCTAATTTTTAATTCCTCATCAAAATAAGGATTCCGATCCCAGCTAAAGCAGAGCATAGCAGAGATAGTACTAAGATTTCAGTGACAGGCCAACGTACTAATCATTATCGTCATCAAAGAGACATATACCAACCTGAATCAAATGCCCCTTCCAACACTTCCCAGAGTCGTAGCTTCGAATAAGAGTTTTGAGATTAACGCGGAAAAAAAGTGAGGAAGGGAGTGGAAATGGAATCAGCTTTTTGACCCTGGAGGGCAAGTGATAAACTCAATTATTTTTATATATTTTGGTATCTGTTTTATCAGTTTAATTGGTCTTTTTTTACCTTAATTGATTTATTTTGTTTTATTTTGAATTATTATTTTATAGGGGTAAAATTGTCATATTTTGGTTTAATTGTGATTAATTGATTTTTAAGGACAATTAATGCTACCTTATCCTTGAATTTTTGCTTGCAGGTTTTTAGAAGATTTTTAAAATAAAAAAAATTGAAATAAAAAAAGAAAAAAAAAAGAAAAAAAATATAATAAAAGGGGGGAGCAAAACGCTGCGTTTTGCTCCACCCCTAATATCCATTATTATCATCAGCTGGGAGAAGAAGAGCTGGGCGGCGAACAAGACGGAACGAAACACACACGAACACGCCGAACAAAACAGAGCAAGCCGAGCACGACAGAAGCGGAAGACCGAAACAGACGGCACGAGGTGGAGGCGGCGAACGAAGAGGGGGGAGACGAAAAGAACAGAGCTGAGGCGCAGCTGGCGGCTGACGAAGGGAAAACACACACGACACGCAACAGAGCTGGCTGACGGCGCTGAGGGAGAACGAACACGGGCGGACGCTGGAGCTGAACACACACACACGCGACAGCGGCTGAACCAGAACGCGACACACACAAGCTGAACGCCGAGCAAGCCTGGGACGGCGGCGAAGGCCAAGAAACAGCGAAACAGAGGCTCACGGTGTCATCCTTAATCGCTTTTTGCACTGTTCCGCCACGTATCTTCCATGACTGACCGCAAAAGAGGATTGATTGTGGCATTTTTCATGGCTATGCGTGGCTGGAGCTCTGAAATCCTCTAATTCAACAATAATGACAGGGGTTTCGATCATCAAGGGGAGTTTTAGTTGCTTTAATTTCCTATTCAATAATTGTTTAATAATTCCTAGGTTTTAGGATAGTTTTTCTGATTATTGGGATAATTATATTGCTTAATCTGATTATATTTGGAGATTATTGTGACTGGATTATTGTTTAGCATTTGACATTGGGCTGTTTATAACTTTGATTTCAATTATGATGTTGTGATTATAACATTCATATTGATTTTGGAGTTAATAATGTGATTTTCTAAAGTGGCTTGGAATTTTGGATCATATTGTCTCTTGCTAGCTATAATTTTGTTAATTTGGATTTAAGAATTCTAATTAAGTATTGGCTTTTAGCATCCTTAATTCTATTTTACTATTCTGGTTGCAGTTAGTAAGTTGGGATTTTAGGAAAATATTTTGTGGCAACTCGAGGTGGCTCGGTTGTTGGATTAAAAGCTTAATTATAATTCTTAATTCATTATTTTAACTCCCACATTTTTAGAGTGATGATTGCCTGCGTTGTTGAATTGGAGGATTGACTTTTATCAGTATTATTTGTGTGTCTCATTTTCATTTCTTTAATCTTTATTCATTTTAATTACTTTTATATAAAAACAAAAAAAAAGTATTTTAATTTCAATTTGATTCGTAGCATTTAATTAGCAGTTTTTCAAAAATCAAAAATCCCTTTTTATAATTTAGGTTACTTGCATTTATTTACTAGGGTTTAATTTCATTTTCGGCTCCTCAAAGTGAAATGACCCGAGTTCTGCACTATATTACATTAATTCGGTTAATTTTTGGATTAACCTTAAAGCAACAATTAAGGGCGAGTTAAACTTCACCAAGTTAAGGCCCAACTAAAGCATAACCACACAACCTGTCTTGACTAGTATCTAAATGGTCTTTGCTTTGTCAATACGTTCTAAAATCACTATTGTATTTATTGTTCTGGCATATCATAAATGCAATAAATATATACAATAAATATAATCTTAATCTTATTTACGAAGATGAGGAGTGAAAGAATGGATTAAGAAAAGAGACGAGAAAAAATGATAAGAAAGACATCAGTGGGAGAAAAACACTAGAACAAAAAAAGGTGCAGCAAATTTGTAGACAAATACAAAATATTACTTATATATGAGACAAATTTTATATAATAAAATATTGCTTGTATATAAAATAGAAAGAGAAGGGAGTAATAACAAACTGGACAGAACCAGTATTAAAAAAAGTACGGGGTCTATCGGAACATGGGGACCCGCATGTGCCGACCCTAAATAGAGGGCTCCAGTGCACATTGCATAGTGCACTCACCCAAATCACAAAAAAAAAAAATAAAGGGCATAGATACAGTTTAGGTGTTTTTGCGTTTTTTTTTTTTTGCTACAGAAGTGGCTAACGCCAAAACAAAACTAAACAACAGAGAGATTATAAGAGTGTTTAGATAGAAACCAAATTATAGTTTTAAACGTAATTTTATGATATACGAAGTAAATATTTAGAGAAGTTTATCTCAATTTGTAAAAAAGTACTTTTAAAAAGTACTTTTGATGATATCCAAATATCCCTGATATCCCATACAATCTTCCTGCAGAAGAGCCTTTAAACTAGTTGAACAAACATTAAAAAACTGAGATTGTAAAACCCCCATTTTGGCCAACCTATCAGCAACCTTGTTTCTTTTCCTCGAGATATAATCCAGTTTGACAGTCCAATCAAACTGCAACATCTCTTGAATCTGGATAAAAAGGAGATTGAAACTGTTACTAGGGTGGTGTGTAGGGAGCAGTTCTACCAGAATTCTGGCATATGATTCAAATATGACAGCCTTGAATCCAAAGTCTCAAGCGAGTTTTAACCCCCTATAAATGGCCCATTCTTCCGCCTCTTCTGCACTGCAGATACCCAGTTCTTAAGCAAATCCAACAATCCAATGGCCCTTAAAGTCACGTAATAAGCCACCACAACCAACTTTGTAGGAGTTCAAAGCCATAGCACCATACACATTTAATTTAATCCATTTAGGAGGAGGGGAAATCCAAGAATAAGAAGTTTTAGCATCATAATTTACATTCAGATTTGCCTCTCCATCACAATTAGTGTTCATAGAGTAGAGTTTCCAGTTTCTCAAATAAGCAGAAGTATTAATTGGTCTAGTAAAAGTTGTGTCAAAAGCTGCACTATTCCTCCGGTTCCATAATTTCCACACAGCTACACCCTAGAAAATATTCCAGCTCTTATTGTTGACATATCCCATATTAAGTCTAAGATTAGTAGCAATCCAATCTTTCAAAGAAAGAGAGAAAAAGGATGGCACATACCTTCGTTCAATATTTTCCGACCACATTCTTCGAGCAAAGTGACAATCCTGTAGAATAAGCAATATGTCCTGTGTTTTATCTTGACAGTAAGCACAAAGGGATGAAATATGTGCCAAGTGCTTCTCCATTCATTTGTTGGCAGGTGATTATTGTAAACTCTTCATAGGAAAGTTTTAATCCTCCTAGATCCTTTCTATTGCCAAATCAATTTGAACACCGGATCATATTTATCAGGAGGATTTGCCTCAATCATTTGATAAGCACACTTGATAGAAAATAAACCATTTGGAGAACCTTTCCAAGATATCACATCATATCCTGCGTTCTCCATAGGTGGCATAAAGCTAATTAGCCACTAACACTTTGTTCCACAATAGAAGCAAGTTGTCGAAAATGCCAGGAGCCATTAAGAATCCAATCCGCGACAACACTGTCATGTTTTTCTTGAGTGAGAGGCCGTAAGCAGAGGTCCTTGACTTTTTTATCAGGGAATAACGACATATCATTAAAGAAATTAACATAAATTCCATTTCGAACTTTCCAAACAGTGCTCATCTCAAGAATGTCATTCTGATGGCAAATGAATTTCCATAAACTGGAATCGCTAGGACAGTTATTCAGTAAGTTTTCCTCATCTCTCATCATGTACTTCTTATTTAAGACATCAGACCAAAGTCCTTCCTCCCCAATAACTAATTTCCAAGCAAGTTTTGCTTCACAAGCTTTATTAATTGAGATCAATCTTTTGAATCCCAGGCCTCCAAAATCTTTTGGAAGAGTGATTTGCTGCTAGCTTATGGGTTGATACCCACCACGAGAATCACAGTGGCCCCAAATAAAGTTTCTCTTCTTTCGGCCTCAGTACAGATTTTCTTTGGGATCTGGGCTACTTGCATTGGATAAAGAGGAATAGAACTCAAAACAGATTTAGAAAGAGTAATCCTACTAGCCATAGATAAACTGTTGGCCTTCCAAGCTTCAAGTTTTGATCGAACCTGATCAACAATGTATTGGAAAGTTTCACTTGGTTTTCTTTTCTTACTAAGAGGAAAACCCAGGTATTTACCAATTTCAGGAGAGAGATTCATTTGATGAAGAGAAGATTGTAATGGATAGAAATGTTTTTAAATGAGGCGCACTGTTCAAGGCCTTTTACTATTCTTTATATAGACAAGGGTAAAACCCTATTTTCCAAGAGATGATTACACGTGTCTACTATTGTACATCAAGAATAGAACATACTAGAAATAACTATTTGGACTTAATCAGTTTGGGCTTTAGTCTGCTGGGCTGTTTTATGCTTGAGCCCACTATATTCTTAACATCCCCCGTCAAACTAGGCCTTGGTGAATGAATGAGGCCTAGTTTGTCTCTAAAAGCCCAGAACTTCGAATGTGATAAGGCCTTGGTGAAGATGTCAGCGAGTTGCTCAGATGAAGGAACATATTTGACTGTGAGTTGCCGATCGATGACTCTGTCTCTGAGATAATGAACATCAAGTTCTATGTGCTTTGAACGGGCATGAAAAACCATATTAGATGCTAAGGCCGCTACACTTAGGTTATCGCACCATGCAATCGGTGGCTGTTTCAGTCGGACTCCAAGCTCACCGAAGAGGGATTGGTACCAGGCGAGTTCAGTAGCTAAATTAGCCAGAGCTCTGTATTCGGATTCAGCTGAAGATCGTGCCACTACATGTTGCTTCTTGGCAGACCAGGAGATTAGAGAGTCACCTAAGAAGACGCAGTACCCGCCGACCGAGTGTCGATCATCGGGGCAAACAGCCCAGTCAGCATCCGAGAAGCCTTGTAAGTTGAGATGAGTACTCGGCTTGATGTGCAACGCCAAATTCATGGTTCCTTTCAGGTACCGAAAAATCCGTTTGAGTGCTTGCCAATGAATGACTGTCGGTGATGATAAAAATTGACTTAATTTGTTGACTGCAAACATGATATCCAGCCTGGTGTTAGTTAGGTACTGCAAAGCCCCAATTGCTTGTCTGTACATAGTTGGATCTTGGAAAGGCATCCCGTCGTCCTTTGAGTAATGTCTGTTGATTACCATAGGAGTTGGAACTGTAGAACAATTTGTCATATGAAATCTGTCCAGGATAGACAAGATATATTTGCTTTGCTTCAGATATAGACCAATGTCGTCTCTGTACGCTTCAATTCCCAGAAAATGATGTAAATGACCGAGATCTTTGAGAGCAAAAAGTGAGTCGAGTTGTTTGATAAACAGTTCAAGAGCCCTTGGTGAGTTACCAGTAACCACTATATCATCCACATAGATAAGAACAAACATGATACATTCCTGACGTTTCAGGAAAAACAGAGAGGTATCACACTCAGAGTGAGTAAATCCCCAATTCTTTAGTGTAAACCTTAATTTCTCAAACCAAGCTCTAGGAGCTTGTTTTAAACCATAAAGAGCCTTCCTTAACAAGCATACATGATTAGGATGCTTAGAGGATATAAAACCTTCAGGTTGTTTTATCAGAACTTGTTCTTGTAAATCACCATTTAGAAAGGCATTATTAATATCTAGTTGTCTAATTTTCCAGCCAAATGTGACAGCTAGAGACAGAACAAACCTCAGTGTAGAAGTCTTCAAAACTGGACTGAAGGTCTCGTTGAAGTCTTCTCCTGGTCTTTGTTGAAAACCTTTAGCAACTAGTCTGGCTTTAGGCTTGTAACCAGATCCATCAGGTAGAGGTTTAGACTTGAAAACCCACTTACAGTCCACCAATTTCCTTCGACCATCATAGGGAACTAGGACCCAGGTATGATTCAGCATAAGAGCCTTATATTCATTCTGCATTGCTTGTCTCCATTCGATAGAGTTCAAGGCTTCTTTGATATTGACAGGTTCTTTTAGAATATCCATACTGGTCATGAAAGTTCCAATGTATGGTTGTTTGGGTTTGTAGATCCCAGATTTACTTCTAGTCACCATCTGATTTCTGATTGGAGAGTCATTAACTGTTGTTGATGTTGATATAGGACTGTTTCTTTCTTCTTGACTGTGTGTAGGAGACATAGTCAATGAAGGTTGCAAATCTTCATTTGCTGAATTAATAGGCTGTGTTGCATATTCCTGAATATTGCTCTGTTCAACTTGTGCAGGGATTTGATCCAGAACTGGAAGAGGACTTGAGACTGGTTCATCTTGAAATGAAACAGGCTTGTTAGAGTGTTCCTCATGATAATCACTAGCAGGACAAGTTCTTGGAACATATGACAGGGCTGATTGGAAAAAAGACTTGGGATGCACTTCTTCTTTAGGTATTTTATTCTTATTTAGAAAACCTGCAGAAAAAGGAAAGTCATGCTCATTAAAAACCACATGTCTAGATATATAAACTCTTCCGGTTGGACTTAGGCATTTGTAACCTTTGTGATTGTTGCTGTAACCAATAAACACACACTTGATTATTCTGAATTGTAATTTGTGTTCATTGTACGGCCTAAGACATGGGTAACAAGTTGTGCCAAATATCTTGAGTTGTTCATAATCTGGAAGTTTTCCAGTAAGTCTAAAAAATGGTGAAATTCCACCCAGAACAGCCGATGGTAGTCGATTTATTAACTCAGAGGCAGTGTGAAATGCTTCCCACCAATAGAAAAGAGGCATTTTAGCCTGTGCTAGGAGAGTCAAGCCTATTTCCACAATGTGTCTGTGTTTCCTTTCTGCTCTTCCATTCTGTGGAGATGTATGTGGACATGAGTGTCTAAAGTGAATGCCTGATTCGTGTAAAACCTTACAGAATTTTCTGTATTCTCCTCCCCAGTCACTTTGGACAATCTTAATCTTGCTCTCAAATTATTTTTCAACAAAATTTTTGAATGGAATAAACATATGAAGTGCTTCATCATTAGTTTTCAAGGGAAAAATCCAGGAATATCTACTGTAATCATCCACAAATAGTATATAGTAGCGAAAACTGAAGTGGTGAGGGTCCCCACAGATCAGTGTGTATTAATTCTAATGGTTTAGATGCATGTGAAGTAGAGACTTTGAACGGTAGGGAGTGCATTTTTCCATATTTGCAGGATTCACAAAAACTGGGTTCATTTTCATTGCTAATAGAAACTTTCAAGTTACATTCTGCAATGAGTCTATTCAGAACCTTGTCACTAGGATGACCAAGTCTACAATGCCAAAAAGTTCTACTAAAAGGTTTAAAACTAGATACTGAATTAACAGCTTCTTCTGCCGCCAGAATCAAGTCTTTCTTCTTTTCATTTTCCTTCAAGTCCAGCACTTGAAACATGCCTCCACTATTTGGTTTTCCCTGCAACACTACCTGCCCTGTTTCCTGGTTCTTCACAGAAACACCTTTAGTATTAAAAATCACATCAGCTTTGTTATCATGAGCCACTTGATACACACTGAGCAAATTCTTTTTAATGTCTGGAGTATAAAGAATTTTATTCAGTTTAACCTTCTGATTACCAACATTCTGAATAGTTGAAGAACCAATTTTTCGAACTCCTAATTTAAAACCATCACCAACAATAATGTTCATCTTACCATTAGGATCAGAAATATTTTCAATCTTGTTGATGTCATTAGTCACGTGGCTTGTAGCTCCACTGTCCATGTACCAAGCATCATCATTAACAGTTTCAGGACTGGCCCAATAAGCACTGTCTGAGTTAGAGTATGTGTTTCTGGTCATCTTTCTGCTTCCTGAAGGAACAAAAGATCTGTCAAATCGATAAAAACAATTTTCAACTATATGACCAACCCTTTGACAGAGTTGACATTTTGGAGGACCCTCATTGTTGTTGTTATTGTTGTTTCTGCCAGGACCACATCCAGTTCTACCTCTACCCCTTCGTCCTCTATTTCCTCTACCTCCACGCCAATTGGTTCTGAAAAAGGAGCTTTGATCAGATCTGGAAGAAAACGCATCATCAACCCGAGCATAGTTGGCAAAGTGAGCAGAAGTTTCATAAATTTGTTGAAGTTGCTCCAAACGGCTTTCATAAGTGTAAAGTTGAGACTGCAGCTCAATCCAGCTTAGTTCATCAGCACGGTTTGAAAGTTGAACAACTATTGGGTTGTAATCTCCGTCTAAACCAGCAAGAACTTGAATAATGAGAGGTAGTGGACTTCCAGCAATAGAGAGTTGCTCAGCTAAGGTCTTCATTTTCGCAAGATATTCAGGTATCTTCATAGATCCTTTCCTGGTCCTTTGAAGCTCAGAATGAAGAAGAAGAAGCCATGACTTGGTCTGTGCACCAGCAATCTCCTTTGCAGCAAGCCATAGTCCAGCAGAAGTTGACACAGAGGTCATTTCGGCAGAGATCTCCAGTGTCATTGTGTTTAGAAGCCATCCAAATAAGAGTTGGTCAGCTGCAACCCAGTCCTCGAAAGCTGGATTTATCTTTGTTGTATCTCCCTCTGTAATAAACTGGGATGGACATCACCTGGTTCCATTTATGAACCCCTCCAGTTTGTGACCTTTGATAAAGGGAAGAACATGTGTGACCCACAGAGAATAATTGAATCTGTCCAACTTGACAGAGCATGGCTGTGATAGGGAGTTGTTCTTTTCTGTAAGTTTAGCTAAGATGGAGGCAGAGACAAGAGAGCTCTCGTCATTCTTGGTCAGGGCAGTGTTTGGTGAGCTAGGGTTATTGTGTGACTCACTTGGTGCATTGGAAGCAGCCATTGGTTATTAACCAGCTCGGCTCTGATACCAAGAGAAGATTGTAATGGATAGAAATGTTTTTAAATGAGGCGCACTGTTCAAGGCCTTTTACTATTCTTTATATAGACAAGGGTAAAACCCTATTTTACAAGAGATGATTACACGTGTCTACTATTGTACATCAAGAATAGAACATACTAGAAATAACTATTTGGACTTGATCAGTTTGGGCTTTAGTCTGCTGGGCTGTTTTATGCTTGAGCCCACTATATTCTTAACAGATGATATTTTTAATTTTTCCTTTAATAGAAGCTGCCAGTTTCAAAAAAAAGAATATAGAAGATTTGCTCCTGTTAACAAGTCCTCCAGAAACTTTAGAGATAGTATCAAGGCATTCCATCATGCAACAAATGTATCAGAAAGCTTTTT